TGCCGAGGCTCAATGAAAATGACCGCCTCCGGATTATTGGTATGCTTCAAGCTGGTATGGGCCAAGCCGTTGTCTCTACACGTTTTCATGTCCATCGAAACACAATCCGGAATTTGTGGAGACGACATCAACAGTTTGGCCACGTCGGCGATCGACCTCGTGCGGGACGTCCACGTGTAACGTCACGTCAACAGGACAACCATATTCGGCTTGTCCATTTGAGAAATCGCTTCCAAACCGCAAGTTTGACTGCACGAACAATCCCTGGGTTGCTACCAATAAGCCCGAGAACTGTACGGAACCGATTGCGTGAACGAGCTATCCGTCCGCGACGTCCTGCAATCCGCCAAGTTCTTCTGCCACGTCATCGTGTAGCACGTCTGGACTGGTGCAGAAGGCATCTGCGATTTACTCGACGGGATTGGGCAGGCATTTTGTTTACGGACGAGTCGCGAGTCCACCTGGATAGTAGTGACGGCCATTGAAGAGTGTATCGTCGCGTTGGAGAACGTTTCCGTGACGCGTGTGTAGTACAACGACGTTCTTTCGGCGGAGGCAGCGTTATGATTCGGGGCGGCATCACAACCGTGGTTGTTAACGGAAATTTGAACGCGCTACGTTACCGTGACGAGATCCTCCGAACCCACGCCGTTCCATTCGTGCAAGGGCAGCAACGTCACATTACGCTACAGCAGGACAACGCCAGACCACACACAGCTCGTGTCGCTATGGACTTTCTGGCCCAGCAGATCGTTGACATGTTGTCCTGGCCTGCTATATCCCCCGATCTGTCACCCATTAAACACGTCTGGGATGAAATGAAGCGCAGATTACGGGCATTGCCTAATCAACCGGTGATGTTGGCTGATTTGGCTGCAGCGTTGGTACAGATCTGGAATGCCATCCCAGAAGCATTCTTGAACCGTCTGTAGGCTCCATGCGTCGACGTTACCAGGCTTGCATTCAGGCAAACGGTGGACATACGAGGTATTAACTTTGTGAACTCAGTATTAACCCCTGCTGTGTTTACGTCACTCCTGAGCGGAACTTATTGATTCCATAACGTGGAAAATGGAATGCAACTGTTAATAAATAACAAATAAATTGCCCCTGAAAACCTTGTTGTTATACGTCATACAAATTTATTTTTATAACACATTTTAGGCATGCACAGTTTCTTTTTTCCGCTAGTATATATTTGACAGGATTGTAAAAATACTTGAAGTGACAGATTATGTGCATTTCTCCTATTCGTAGGACGAGCAGCAGTTCCTTGTTACATTAGGTAATAGAAGCGTATTATAATCTGGGAACGTTTTATGATCGGTATACACAATTATCTCAACAAATGATGACTGAACTTCAGGAGTAGCTGAGTGTCGCTTCAAATGTCGCATATACACTTACGTGTGATGGTTTTCAAATTTAGTCTCTGCTGAAGATTCGATTGTAATGGATAAATATAGTATAATTAGGGCGTGTATGTATATATATAAAACAAAAGACAGATGTTTATTCGACTTCCCTAGCGCTTTCTCCTCTTAAGAGGTTCATCAGGGAAACTCTAAAATATAAATAATTAAAAAAAAAATCATATTTACTCGTAGATGAAATTGGAATATCTGGTGTTTATTCCTATCCATGTTTATAGAAGTGGTAAACAGTTGCTTACAAAATATTTCAGTACAGTATTTCTGCTATTTTTCAGCCTTTTGATTGGCCAGACACAAAATTGAAATGCGAGGTTAGACAAATAGTCCCAGGTGAAACTTTGATTTTACATACTGGTTAACTAGCACAAGTACAAAACACAACACAACAGGTATGATTAACACAAAATTATGACTGGCAAATAATAAGGTATAAAATAACAATCATTATAGGTACACTGCATGGTGCAAAACACAGCAATTGTGAATGGAATTTTAACGTAAACAAATTCGTTTAGTTTAAATGATTATGATTATGAGTTTGTACAACTAGTCATGGGGATTAAGAAGTTCTTTTCAACTCGTGTTAAGTTGAACAATCATGCAGAGCAGAACTATTAATCTGTCATGAAGAAAATTAACATGTTACGAAAATTAGTTCAATGATTAAAGAGGGATCCTATTTTGAAAATAATTTTTTATTTTTTTAGTACCAGAATACTGGAAAGGTCACAATGTGAACTCATTACAAAATTTAGAAAAGAATCTAAGCTCAAATTAGAAAAGAGACTAGAGATTTCATTTAGAACAAATAGAAACAAAACAAATTATGCATCAAAGTTTAAAATATGATAGAGATCAACCGTAAAAACTCGATATAACAATTTTTAAATTAACGTTTTTTCAAAGTTCCATTTTTAACTAAATTGCCAATTGCTTTAAGCCTATACGGTCAACGTTTCTCACCGAACAAAGGATACACAAGTAATTGCAGCATATCGATGGTAAGCTGTACTTAAAGTAAAATGTATGGACATTCGGTGCAGAGATATCGTGACTGTCAATCAATAAGATGTTAAATTCTAAATTAACTTTTAATGCTATATTTTAATTTTAATTGAGTTATTTTAAAACTGGTCATTAATTTAAAGCACATTTGACACCAAAAGATATATCCGTACAAATTGCATGCCACACATGTGACTCTCCATGTACAGAGGAGCACTTTTTAATAGAATGATCAGATTTAAGGTACATTCATAAAACATGCTCTAATGTCACGGACGTAAAAACTCTTTTCACTTCCGTAGACTTGGAGACATTAGCCAATTATATAAAAGACATTGGTCTGATTTATAAACTTTGATTTAATTAACCTACAGGACTCTCCTTTATTTTAACGGTATTCATCATTTATTTTTCCAATGCAATTTTTACACGATATTTTTAACTAATTTTTGATAGTTTACCCCATTGTACTATTCTAACTCTCCGAGTTCAACGTTTTATATGATATTTATTTTGATTCCTCAAATGGCTGCCCCGTAGTAAAAGATTGTTCTGGTCCTAAACATACAAAATCTATACAAATAATAAACTGGAAAATAAAATAAGCGGGATCCTTTCCATTACAGATGGCGGCAAACTTAACTTGGTATCTAGTGTCCTTTGTAGTACAACCGTATGAAGTGCACTTACACAACTTACACTTGTAGTACTCCAGTTCACTACAATACATGTGCTAATAATCGAATAGGTTATCGCGCTTTATATGTAACATCAAAGATTTTATCTATTTATTTATATGTTTATTTTTTGGAGCAGGACAATGGGGGTGGGGTGGGTTGAACCATGATAAGTGTCAACTGAAGAAAGGGCCACATATATAATATGATAAAGAAAATATCCTTGTGCTGTGTAGTTAACGTCAGTGCACAAGAATGTGAACTCAAGTGCACTACGGTGTTAACGTCAGTGAACAAGAATGTGAACTCAAGTGCACTACGGTGTTAACTACAGTGCACTACGGTGTTAACTACAGTGCACAAGGATGTGAACTCCAGTGCACTAGAGTGTTAACTACAGTACACAATGATGTGAACTCCAGTGCACTACAGTGTTAACAATAGTACACAAGGATGTGAACTCCAGTGCACTAGAGTGTTAACTACAGTACACAAGGATGTGAACTCCAGTGCACTAGAGTGTTAACTACAGTACACAAGGATGTGAACTCCTGTGCACTAGAGTGTTAACTACAGTGCACAAGGATGTGAACTCCAGTGCACTAAAGTATTAACTACAGTACACAAGGATGTGAACTCCAGTGCACTACGTTGTTAACTACAGTACACAAGGATGTGAACTCCAGTGCACTACGGTGTTAACTACAGTGCACAAGGATGTGATCTCCAGTGCACTACGGTGTTAACTCCAATACAAAAGGATGTGAACTTAAGTGCACGACAGTGTTAACTACAGTACACAAGGATGTGAGCTCCAGTGCACTACAGTGTTAACTACAGTACACAAGGATGTGAACTAAAATGCACTACAGTGTTAACTCCAATACACAAGGATGTGAACTCCAGTGCACTACGGTGTTAACTACAGTGCACAAGGATGTGAACTCCAGTGCACTACAGTGTTAACTCAAGTACACAAGGATGTGACCTCCAGTGCACTACAGTGTTAACTTCAGTGCACAAGGATGTGAACTCCAATGCACTACAGTGTTAACTACAGTACACAAGGATGTGAACTCCAGTGCACTGCAGTGTTAACTACAGTACACAAGGATGTGAACTCAAGTGCACTATGGTGTTAACTACAGTACACAAGGATGTGAACTCAAGTGCACTACAGTGTTAACTACAGTACACAAGGATGTGAACTCCAGTGCACTAGAGTGTTAACTCCAGTACACAGGGATGTGAACTCCAGTGCACTACGGTGTTAACTACAGTACACAAGGATGTGAACTCCAGTGCACTACAGTGTTAACTACAGTACACAAGGATGTGAACTCAAGTGCACTGCAGTGTTAACTCCAGTACACAGGGATGTGAACTCCAGTGCACTATGGTGTTAACTACAGTACACAAGGATGTGAACTCCAGTGCACTACACTGTTAACTACCGTACACAAGGATGTGAACTCAAGTGCACTATGGTGTTAACTACAGTACACAAGGATGTGAACTCCAGTGCACAGGCTTGTTAACTCTAGTATTCAAGCTAGTGCACTGTAGTGTACTCTACTTGTTTACTCCAGTGCACTAGACTACCAAGTTAAGTGTGCTTCGAGCTGTATTAAAGTAGAGACTAACTACAGTTCAGGAGTAGATTGCTGTTATCGACACTCACAACAAATCAATGTCAGCAACTAGGACATGTCAACTCTGTGGTTTAGTACTGATTAGTCGGCTGCCATATGACCAACATATACACGTAATTATTATGTAGAGTAAGGACGACACTAAGGTAATCAGTGTAGGTGCTTACCTGATAGTGTGGCTTATGGTGTATCGGTGCTATTAATAGACGGGACTACTACAGTTAGTCATATATACCAACAGAGCTCTATGACTGTACGACCTTTATGTTATACCAAGTACAATACTAGCACACAAAATGATGGACGCATGAAAAGTTTGTCCGATAAGGGTCACTGTTTTCTACTGGACATCTGACCGTTGGTCAAGGAAGGTTATTTGTGTAATGGCAGACATCGCATTGAGTGGTGGTTACCTCAGTGAAGGAAGGATTACTGTGCAATTATTGACATGTGACAGGTTAGTCGACACATGTGACCGGTTAGTCGAGAAAGGTTCACTCTTGTAATGCAGAATTAATATATTGTCGATGTGACTTTTCAGCTGCGTTTGAGGACAGAACTTGAGGGACGCGGCTAAGATCCTTAACCCACAGTTCGTGTATGTGTGTAACCCGTATATATATATATATATATATGGTTTGTGTCCACGTGTGTTGTTCCGTCTGGTGAACAGTGTATGTGACGTCATCAGTTCGGAATGCATGTACCTGTGTTATTATGTTATTTTTTAACATTTTGACTGAATTGTACTTACGACGTAGATCTTGGACCTGCTGCCCCCTTGCACGAATAAAGCACCCTATATTCCCACCACTATATTCTGGCTACTGGGTAAATACTTAGTAAAGACACATTGCCGCCAGCATTTATTAGCAAGCTATTACCCGGTATGTGTAACAGTATTAATGTAATAACTATCGTGTGATTGTAACATTTAGCTATTTTAAGTAATATATTTATAGCGGTCTGTATTCAGAGGTCCGGTACCTCGGTCGGCGCGGAAGTTGTGTAGTATTTATTGCATGTATATGTGAGGGTGAATGTATTTTCTCGGAGTTAGTAAACACAAATATTTCCATACACAACTTGTCCGTATTTTGGTATTAAAACTGAGCAACCGGTGGCATGTGTATCACTATATGTATATATGGTAACGCGAAATCTAACGCTTTTAACAGTAATAGGGGCCTTGACATTTGAATATGAAAAGCAATTCCTAGCAAACATTTTCCGTAAAGAAGCAGTGAATGTTTTAATGATTTCGGCACACCTGACTTGTTGTACGGAAACGAATTCTCTAACTATAATTTTTCAGGAAGCAGTCATAAGCAAGCATTGTTTTCTTAACGAACCATTATATGAAAATTGAGTTGATAGGACATAACACATGTAACTCCAGCATTCAAGTTTAAATATTGTGTTGGTTAATAGTAACAGTTACCTTAATCTTTGACCTTCAGACCTAAAAAAACAATCCAGACCAAATATGTTCTGTAAGAAAAGTTGGAGTGTTCAACAGTACCAATAGCCATAACCTTTAACCTATAGCTCTGAAATTTCCGTAAGAAAGTAGTGCATGGTGAGAGCTATCTGTAGGATGCATCGTGCAGTTTGAGTCTGGTTAGTCCACGGAAACTGAAATTATTGTATGGAAACCGGTTTTCTACTGATAGTACTTTCACTGCCATTTTCCCAGATGGACGGGCTAATGGACTGACGAACGTCATTATAATACCGCCTCTGATCTCAATCGAGGGGATTATAACTCCCCAGAAAATCCATCTTCACCATTTCCCTTTTCATTATTGTTTTAGTATAACGGTCGTAGATATTACTAATTAAATAAACATGAAATCATCTTCAATGAGTGTTCGAATGAAGGAATTATGGAGCGAGGTATGTCACCAGGAAATCAGCCCAGCCAAGTAGATACGTCTTAGTCATTTTTAAAAATAAACTGTGTTTCGGTGCAGTATCAACGAGTGTAGGTTACCTGTACGTGGTTGGGTAACCGCCCCTTGATAGCATGTGTGAGCCTACAGTTTTACACATACCTGGATTCTGTAGCTTATCTCGGTTATAGCAACCTGGTTATGTTGTATACCAGGAAGTAAGTACGAGTGCCGTTCGACCATAAGTTTCATGCTGTTTTGCATTACATTCATTTTTCAGTAATATTCAAAGTGCTCATTTTGTATTATTTTCCAGACATACCTTTGCCAGCTGTTGTATCTGAGAAAAAAATGGAGGACGAGGAATTACTACTGGTCAATTCTGAGAAAAGGATAGATGTCACTCGCTTCCTACATACCCAGAAACAAATCCGGGATACCTACGGCAAGGAGAAGGTCATTGTCTCATGGAAGGACAGGCTGAGAGAAAAGTTCAAATGTTCCGGTACAACCTGTCTACGTACTTTTCTGTCTTACATCCCGTTCATCAACGTTATCAGGACATACAAGCTGAGGGAATACATACTTGGGGATATCCTCAGTGGAATTACAGCGGCGTGTTTACATTTCCCTCAGGGACTTGCATTCGGAATCCTAGCCTCTCTTGCCCCAGCGTTCGGCCTGTACACCTCGTTCTTTCCAATCGTATTATATATGTTTTTCGGAACATCTCATCACACATCGTTCGGTACAAATGCTGTCATCGCCCTTTTTACGGCAGAGATAGTTGAGGCCCAAGTCAGTGGTCTTGTAAGACAGACACCTGTAGCAAACGTGACAGGAAATGACACTCAAACGGTTGAAGGACTTGACGACGACGCCATAATGGAGATGAAAGTGATGGCAGCCTCCGGAGCATCTCTCATTGTAGGGATCGTACTTCTGGTCATGGGTATACTCCGTTTAGGATTTCTCACCTCCTATATGTCGTCGTCTTTCATACACGCATTCGTGTGTGCCAGTGCATTTCACATCGCAACAAGTCAGATTCCGAAAGCCTTGGGTATATCAATCCCATTATTTACTGGACCTGGAAAATTAGTTCTGTCATACATAGAAATATTCAAAGCAATTCCAAATATCAATGTTGCTTCGCTCATTATTACAATCTTGTCAATGGCAATCTTATTGTTAGTGAAAGAATGCATCAATAAACGGTTTAAAGACAAGATGAAAATGCCAATTCCTATAGACCTTATCCTTATTGTCATCGCAACCATCATATCTCACTTTGCAAACTTTAAAGATGTCTTCGCAGTGCCTGTGGTTGGTAACATTCCTAGTGGAATCCCCGCCCCTCGTCTTCCAGTTCTTTCCTCTGATTACGTAGGAACAGCAATCATAGTCGCCATTTTGGTGTTTGTCCTGTCAATTGCAATGGCGCGAACCTGCGAACTAAAGCATGACTACCAAATCGACGATAACCAAGAACTTGTTGCTTATGGAATTTCCAACTTAGGAAGTTCATTTTTTCAATGTTTTCCATCCTGTACTGCGCCTCCCCGAACAATGCTCCTGAGTTTGATGGACGCCAAAACAACCTTGAACGGCCTGTTTTCCGCCGTGGTCATGCTACTTGTGCTGATGGTGATAGGACAGTTGTTTGAGTCACTTCCGCTTCCGGTTCTTTCTGCGATGGTCATCATTGCGGTGAAGGATCTCCTGCTGCACGTGACAGAACTACCGAATTTCTGGAGGATAAATGGATATGATTTCGTCATATGGATGGGAACCTGTCTGTGTGGAGTGTTCATTGATATCCCGTACGGCTTGTACGCTGGTGTGGGGCTTGGGCTGTTAACGATTGCCGTGCAGAGTCAGAGATCGGCTAGCTATACGCTCTCTACACCCAAAGACGAGGATATATATTTGGACTCTTCAATGCATCGTAATCTACATCAACTACCAAACATACGCATCTTCCGAATGGAAGCATCCCTTTATTTTGCAACGTCGGCTATATTCAAAAATAAATTGTATAAAGAGGTCTGTGACCCTAGACAACTTGCAAAATCGGCTGAAATGGAAAAGAAAAATGGGATTGAATATACCGAAAATGGAGGAGATGAAGATGTTACCAAACGTCCCCAACAAGAACTTAAATACCTGGTGATAGACTGTTCACTTGTCAGCTACGTCGATATAAACGGGATGAAAGTCTTAGCTCAAATCACGAAGGAGTTCCGAAAGGTGAATGTCACGGTTGTCTTAGCGCGGTGTTCACGTTATATGTTAAAAAGTCTAGATACATCGATACTCTCGGACGTGTTCACAGACAACCGGGTTTTCCTGGACCTCAACGACGCTATTTACGCATGTAAACATTCCTTGGTCTAGGTTGAAAGGCATATACCCTGCGGTAACTAGAATCTCTGCAACCTAATGACGATCATGTAAACAAGCTTTTCTTTGAAAGTGTCTCTTTAGAAAGATGTGCTTCATAACATGCAATTGGCTATCAATGTTTTTTTGTGTGTAAATACTTCGAACTTGTATGTGGAACGAGGACAGTGATAAAGATACACAGAAAGACAATACATTGGTAGATAGCTAATAACCACACAACAACGTGTTCAATAGCAAACGGCAGAAGCCTTCCTAGGTAGAACTGAACAAATACTTTTGTGTGATTATTTTGTAATCTTCAGTGTGTCATATACATAGTAATCCTATTGAAAACAAGTTATCTTGGATAGAAAGTGTTTAATAATTAAAGGGTGCTTACTTTCGTACATGTTTATAAAGTAGCAAATTGCTTATGTATATTTAATACACTCTTGCTAACGGATGTTTAACGATGTTACCTTAAATGATTGTTTTATACAAATACCTTAACTACATGTTAACGTGTAGTTCAGCTAAAGTATACCTGAAGGTCAGTAGAAGTACACTCGAAGTTAAGCAGAAGTATACTTGAAATTGAGTAGAGGTATACTTGAAATTGAGTAGAGGTATACTTGAAATTGAGTTTAGGTGTACTTGAAGTTCATCAGAATTAAACTTTAATATACAAATAGCTTAACTACATGTATATGTACACTTTTAGCTTAGTAGACGTATATTTGAAGTTTAGTAGAATGTTACTTGAAGTACAGTAGATGTAAATATGTAGTTCAGTAGAAGTATACTTGAAGTTCAGTCGAAGTAAATATGTAATTAAGTAGAAGTAAAAATGTAGTTCAGTAGAAGTATAGTTGAAGTTCAGTAGAAGTATACTTGAAGCTCAGTAGAAATATATTTTAAGTTCAGTAGAAGTATACTTGAAGCTCCGTAGAAGTAAATATGAAGTTCAGTAGAAGTATACTTGAAGCTCAGTAGAAGCATATTTTAAGTTCAGTAGAAGTATACTTGAAGCTCAGTAGAAGTATATTTTAAGTTCAGTAGAAGTATACTTAAAGCTCAGTAGAAGTAAATATGAAGTTCAGTAGAAGTATACTTGAAGCTCAGTAGAAGTAAATATGTAGTTCAGTAGAAGTATACTTGAAGTTTAGTAGAAGTATATTTGAAGTTTAGTAGAAGTAAATATGTAGTTCAGTAGAAGTATACTTCAGTATATTTGAAGTTTAGCAGGTGAAAATATATATATATATATAGAATAAAAACAAATTTTTCAGATCGTCCGCTAGGCCTTTCTGCCTTCTAGGGCTTCTTCAGGCGGATTGATGTTTATTTATATTGATGTTTGTTTATATATATATATATATATGTGGTTCAGTAGAAGGTCACATGTAGTTCAGTTGATTCATACATGTAGTTCATTTGATTTATATCTTTAGTACATTTGATGTATTTATGTAATATAGTTGATTTATACATATAATTAAGAAATATGTTGTACTTTTATGAGTTATATATGTTTTTATTGTATCGCTTTTTAAAATAATTTGTTAATAAAATTGTGTTTTTGACTTACGTGAGTACATACATAAACCTTTATTTAAGCAATAAACTGCATAGATGTGGCAGACCAACTGGTATAACTGCCACATGTGTCACAGAAAAACTGAATGGTGCGCGCTAGGGCACCATGATAAGTTTGTCTGTGACACATGTGGCAGTTATACCAGTTGGTCTGCCACATCTATGCAGTTTATTGCTTATATTTATATTTCCATAATGAGAATTCGCAAAAAATAATTTATGTCTTTTCCAAATTTCAAATTTCCCGCTTATTACCGTCATGTCAGGTCAATATCTAGAACGGCACAAAGATAACAGCTGACGTCGGGCACTATTTCCCATGCACAATTGAAATGACTCCGCAACTTTCTTTAATAATTCATTTGTTTTTAATTTATATATATATCATATTCTCGATTCATAATTAGTAAAAAATAACATTTTGTAAGTAACTAATCAAGTGTCGTAAAACATTTTCCGATTTTATTGCGACCTATATCCGGCGCACGCACTCAACGGAAGTCTGCAGTAATCAGGTCAGAGTTATATTTGAAGTCCGGCATGTTGTTGATGTTGATCGTGAAACCGGAGAAGGTTGAATTGGTGAAAAATCCAGGCATACAATTGTTTGTTGATCACACAGACACTTGAGACAGGCAGCTCGTGTTCGGGATCAAAGCAGAAGATACTGATCAGTTCGGTAGTGACACTGTTAAGTCGCTCGGAGGTGCAAAGACCAACTTCAGTTATAATCTCATAAGATGAAGCTGCTATTGACACTACGTTAGTAGTAATATAGAAGGGCTTTGCCACACCAAATGTAAATATATGAGTTTAACTGGCAATCTGTCGCTAATTATCCCTTATATGCACTTTGGAACACATTCACGGACATCGTTAGGTTACGATAGTAAAATTAGAACATAAACAAATAAAACAGTGCCAACTGACAAAGACAATATAAAAGTTAAATGTCGATACAAAAAGGCGACATGAAACGAGAAAATGTCACAACAAAACGAAAAATATCGAAAACCTGCACAAAATACCAGTGAGAACCCTAAAGTAGAGACGTGTGTAGGTCAGCCACGTGACAGAACTACCAAATTTCTGGAGGATAAATGGATATGATTTCGTCATATGGATGGGAACCTGTCTGTGTGGAGTGTTCATTGATATCCCGTACGGCTTGTACGCTGGTGTGCGGCTTGGTCTGTTAACGATTGCCGTGCAGAGTCAGAGATCGGCTAGCTATACGCTCTCTACACCCAAAGACGAGGATATATATTTGGACTCTTCAATGCATCGTTATCTACATCAACTACCAAACATACGCATCTTCCGAATGGAAGCATCCCTTTATTTTGCAACGTCGGCTATATTCAAAAATAAATTGTATAAAGAGGTCTGTGACCCTAGACAACTTGCAAAATCGGCTGAAATGGAAAAGAAAAATGGGATTGAATATACCGAAAATGGAGGAGATGAAGATGTTACCAAACGTCCTCAACGGGAACTTAAATACCTGGTGATAGACTGCTCACTTGTCAGCTACGTCGATATAAACGGGATGAAAGTCTTAGCTCAAATCACCAAGGAGTTCCGAAAGGTGAATGTCACGGTTGTCTTAGCGCGGTGTTCACGTAACGTTATATGTTAAAAAGTCTAGAGACATCGATACTCTCGGACGTGTTCACAGACAACCGGGTTTTCCTGGACCTCAACGACGCTATTTACGCATGTAAACATTCCTTGGTCTAGGTTGAAAGGCATATACCCTGCGGTAACTGGAATCTCTGCAACCTAATGACGATCGTGTAAACAAGCTTTTCTTTGAAAGTCTCTCTTTAGAAAGATGTGCTTCATAACATGCAATTGGCTATCAATGTTTTTTTTGTGTAAATACTTCGAACTTGTATGTGGAACGAGGACAGTGATAAAGATACACAGAAAGACAATACATTGGTAGATAGCTAATAACCACACAACAACGTGTTCAATAGCAAACGGTATAAACCTTCCTGGGTAGAACTGAACAAATACTTTTGTGTGATTATTTTGTAATCTTCAGTGTGTCATATACATAGTAATCCTATTGAAAACACGTTATCTTGGATAGAAATTGTTTAATAATTAAAGGGTGCTTACTTTCGTACATGTTTATTTAATACACTCTTGCTAACGGATGTTTAACGATGTTACCTTAAATGATTGTTTTATACAAATACCTTTACTAGATGTTAACGTGTAGTTCAGCTAAAGTATACCTGAAGGTCAGTAGAAGTACACTCGAAGTTAAGCAGAAGTATACTTGAAATTGAGTAGAGGTATACTTGAAATTGAGTAGAGGTATACTTGAAATTGAGTTTAGGTGTACTTGTTCAGTAGAATTAAACTTTAATATACAAATAGCTTAACTACATGTATATGTACACTTTTAGCTTAGTAGACGTATATTTGAAGTTTAGTAGAATGTTACTTGAAGTACAGTAGATGTAAATATGTAGTTCAGTAGAAGTATACTTGAAGTTCAGTCGAAGTAAATATGTAATTAAGTAGAAGTAAAAATGTAGTTCAGTAGAAGTATACTTGAAGTTCAGTAGAAGTATACTTGAAGCTCAGTAGAAGTATATTTTAAGTTCAGTAGAAGTATACTTGAAGCTCAGTAGAAGTAAATATGAAGTTCATTAGAAGTATACTTGAAGCTCAGTAGAAGTATATTTCAAGTTCAGTAGAAGTATACTTGAAGCTCAGTAGAAATATATTTTAAGTTCAGTAGAAGTATACTTGAAGCTCAGTAGAAGTATATTTTAAGTTCAGTAGAAGTATACTTGAAGCTCAGTAGAAGTAAATGTGAAATTCAGTAGAAGTATACTTGAAGCTCAGTAGAAGTATATTTTAAGTTCAGTAGAAGTATACTTAAAGCTCAGTAGAAGTAAATATGAAGTTCAGTAGAAGTATACTTGAAGCTCAGTAGAAGTAAATATGTAGTTCAGTAGAAGTATACTTGAAGTTCAGTAGAAGTATATTTGAAGTTTAGTAGAAGTAAATATGTAGTTCAGTAGAAGTATACTTCAGTATATTTGAAGTATAGCAGGTGAAAATATATATATATATATATGTGGTTCAGTAGAAGGTCACATGTAGTTCAGTTGATTCATACATGTAGTTCGTTTGATTTATATATGAAGTACAGTTGATGTATATATGTAGTATAGTTGATTTATACGTATAATTAAGAAATATGTTGTACTTTTATGAGTTATATATGCTTTTATTGTACCGCTTTTTGAAATAATGTGTTAATAAAATTGTGTTATTGACTTACGTGAGTACATACATAAACCTTTATATGAGTTTAACTGGCAATCTGTCGCTAATTATCCCTTATATGCACTTTGGAACACATTCACGGACATCGTTAGGTTACGACAGTAAAATTAGAACATAAACAAATAAAACAGTGACAACTGACAAAGACATATAAAAGTTAAATATCGATATAAAAAGGCGACATGAGACGAGAAAATGTCACAACAAAACGAAAAATATCGTAAACCTGCACAAAATACCAGGGAGAACCCTAAAGTAGAGACGTGTGAAGGTCAGCCACGACTAGGTCACATCGAAGTTCATAGAAGGAAATCATGTGATGACGAGCGTTATACTTCAATATTAACAAAAACTTTAAACGAACAAACTCGAAAATAATTGACAACCTGTGCTTTGCTATAGTATAGCTATATTGCAATATTTGAACATTTGTGATTTGTATTATAAAACAAATCATAAGTTTGATTTATAATACAAATAACAGGATTAGAGTATTGAATATAAATAACATTTCGAAAATGAATTACAAGACTTCAAATAAACGTTACACAATGTCGAATATAAATCTCAAGTTGTAGAATAAAAAACAAGTTTCGATTATAATTCACGTGGCTTTTAAAATAGATCACTATTTTTATTACTATAGTACATTAATAATAATTAATAACATTGAAACATGAATCCCAAGCTGTTTAAATAGTTCTATATTTTATTAGGTAAGTTATCAATTATAAACTGATTCTGATGTGATTCTCGGTAAAGTCAGAGAACTAGCATCACAATTGTTTTCTAGGGATACGTATCACATTAATGCAGTTGGCGAAAGGTTATAATACCTAAGCAGAGATATATAGCATTAACCAATAGGAGAGTACTCCATACAACAAACGGTTTAGTCTCACCTAGCATATATCTCTAAAATACCTAGTCTCCCCTAGCATACATTTCAATTTTCACACCTGATTACAATTTGGTTAAAGTCTGTTTCAAAATGATGTAGATTGTAGTGTAATACATATTATTATTAAGAACTTATGCCTACTTTAATCAGAGAAATATTCCATTTATATTTGTAAAGAACTATAGTGACACGTGGCAGTAGATGATATGAATTTCAAAAAACCTAAAAAGGATACCTTTATTACAGTATGTTATTAAAGTCTTAAAATCAATCCTATGTATACGTTCATATTCATATGGTAAGACACTTTATAGTACAGACTATAGTTTACCTGTAATTAAATCCTATTGTTCTCTGACACCAAATCTCACCTAGCATACACCAAACACCTTACCTGTCCATAGGAAAATACCAAATGTATGCTACGTGAGACAACACCCAACAA